GTATCTACCCATGGACCCAACAAACCTTCATACCAAATTCAACAGTGGTGAAAAACGCCCACAAAAACCGCAAAACAAAATTTGTATGTACCCCCACATGGACCTAATAAACCTCCATACCAATTTTGGTGAAGATCCATCCACACCCTGCGAAGTAGTTACATGGACATACAACAGACAGTATTATAATATTTATATAGATTTAATTTCTGTAGGGCATATTGATGTATAAAATACATTTTAAAACTAGAAATAAACACCAAATTTATTTAATTAAACACTCAACATTTCACTTTACAGTTTTTTTCAGGAGCATTCCACTAAAACACAAACCGCGGCTGACAACACAAAGCTTCAAATGGTTTAAATAATAAATTCTGATCGAATCTATAGCGTGCATTTCTACAACATGCGTTTGACTTATAATGTTGTAAAGCTTATTGTTGAAAAAATTGTATTGTTGAAATAATTGACTAATACCTGTAATGAACAAAAGTTCCAGATTGAAATAACAAAAGATAAGACGAAAAAAAAGTAATTATAAGATCTATCATCTGTGGTAGCAGTTGTTCGATGAGAAGTTTCTTTAAATTTTCCGTCGGCTTACTTGGCGGCTTTGGTAAGGATTTGTACAGAGAATGGTGGTTTCATGTCAGGTGTTATTTGTTAAAAAATGATCTGCAACTGCGATCCTTTTATGATGTTGTTTATGAAAAACGTCAATATATTCTCTTATCCTTGTGCGTAGGATTCTTCCGGTTTCTCCAATGTACCCATGATGGCAGATGTGACATGTGAGTATTCCTTGCTGGTTTCTAGAACCTGAAATGGGCAACAAAACTATTTAATTTATTTATAGAAATACCATCCTTTTATATAACACGCAAGAAATAAGATTAGCAGCAGTGAAGTATGGATGAAAAAGAATTTGATTCAAAATAAGAAACAGTTTACTTAAATATTCGCTACTTGCTACGTCTGTATGCCGCTAGGGGAAGATAATTTTTTTTCTCAAAAGATAATACAATCATTGTAGATATTTTTAAATGCTTTTGCACTACATAATTTTGCTCTTCTTAGAATAAAGAGTACTATTTCACAATGTGTTGTGATTGACAATAAATACAAAATTGGGGTGCAGGTAGATGTTTGAGACACCATTCTAGTAAATAGGGTAACAACGATTTATAAATCCATTACAGGAATTGTTTAGCATCTCTTCTCGGCCTTTTGGCTAAGATCAAAGTGTAGTATCTGTTCGAGTGGACTCGCACCAGTCTTCAATCCAGTGATCAGTGTTGCGTTTTGTGAGTATTGTTTTCTTTGTCTACGTTTTCAGTTTCTCTAAAGTTTTGATTTATTGTGATTCTTTGGGTTGGTTGGAATGAGTTCCACCAACCACCTGACCCGACCTCGGTCGGTCAGATTTATCGTCGAGAAAGACACATTACCTTCCCAGGTGATTGACTATCTATGAGAGCCTGGGTGTTAATGTCATGGATTGTCTCCAGCACTTCGGTGCTGGCCGATACATTGCCACATTATCCACTCTGGCTGTGGTAAACGAGCTGTTGGGTCGAGGAGCTTTCTCGGTAAACAGTGCCTCCGTCTCAGTGAGTCCTGCAGGCCAAAACCTGAAATGGATGACCCTGCATTCTGCCCCTTATGAAATGTCACACGAAGTGATTAGTGCTGCTCCATGACCATATGGACGAGTTATCAAAATAGAATACGAGTGTTATCCATCACGTCCTGGAGTCTGCACCGGTAACAGGAGAATCCGTATGGATATGACATCTCCGGTTCCCAATTTTTTCAAAATTGGGAATTACACAGTCATGGTCAACTACCTGGGCTTGCAACGCTTGTGCCGTCGTTGTGGTCTCGAAGGTCACCTTGCCAACCATTGTGACACCCCGAGGTGCTCGCGTTGTTTGGCATATGGCCATGAGGAGGCCCAGTGTACCGTTTCATGTGATTTGTGTCAGGGGGCTCACAGTTCTTCTTTGTGTCCCTCCCGTGCTCCAACATATGCTAGCAAAGTTTCCGGAGCTGACACGAAATGTGCCATGTCTCCCTCTTCACCATCGCCTGTACCGCCTCAACCCATTCCAACTACCATTGTGTGTCCTGTTCCTATGGGGCAGCAGGACCAGTCACCCTCCTCAAGTCCTGTGGGTAATGCCGTTTCTCCAACTGAAGATGCCTAACCAATGTCAGATGCCGCTAAATGTCCTTCCAGTCCTGTGGAGGATGACTCATCTGCAGTCCCCTCACCTTCCGTCTCGTCCAGCCCTGATGTCTCTGAGTGAACTGAAGATTCCTCGTCTCATTCTCCAGTAGCTGTTTCTACTTCCTCCCTTGTGATCCGGAAACGTCATATCCCTGTAACAGTGCCTCCTCTCCATCCCGAACTTTGTGCAGCATCCTGGTCTTCCCTTGTGGTTGCCAAGTCATCTTCAGTTTCCCAGATGGACTGTATCGACGCAGCTACACTCAAACGTGCTTTAACTCTCTCATTGCTGGATGAGGGGATGAAGCAGCAGTGTCTGTAGTTCTTCCTTACCATTGGCAGTGGGAGGATTGAGCTTCTGTTTTTTGCTATATTGTATTACTCTGTACATTTTGTGTCATAATTTGTGAACTTATCATTTCTCTGTACACAATTGCTGTAAATTTCGTTATTGTTCTTTTGTACTGTTATTTGTTGCAATAAATCTCAAATTAATAGTATCTGTTCTCATCAGCTTAATATCTGATACGGTTCCCAAAGGGAACCATGATATTAAACTTATTTTTGTAAGGCGGCGGGGTGCTTGGAGCTTGCTCCACCCCTGCCACGGGTTAGCCTGGCATTGCAGTACTGCTGGGATCGGCCCACTTCCTTTGTAATTTCAAAAGATAAGAAAATTTGTTGAAAGTTTTGGTGGTAGTACTTTCTTTTTGAGAAAATCGTTAAGTATTTCGTTGATTGTTTCATTAATTATGTAGTGAGAATACGAAAATGTAATGCCATCTATTGCTATGCAGTACCAATATTACTTATTCAGGTAATAAATTAAACAATAAGTCCATATAACAATAAATTCACGTGTTCTTTATATGTACTAAACGAAAAAATCAATTGAGATAAAAAATTCATGTCATACGGCTTTCTCTGTGTGTGGAAGAAGAACAATGAAAGATTAATGTATGAGTGGATATCACTTTGAGTCAAGGTTCTGTATTTAATCAGACTAGTCTATTACTCTGTAAAGTAGTGATACAGCAAAGTCTACTAATTTTGAAGTGATGGGCCATACAGGGAAGGCAGCACTATAATACGTTAATAAAGAAATTTGGTAATGAATTGAAAGAAAACTGTATGTCAGTTGGTTTCAGCAAAAGATCATCCCTAGACAACACAAGGCTATTAAAAAAATTAATTACTAATGTCTTTAAATTTTGAGAAAACTTAAAACTCATACTAATGCCCGAACTTTTAATAATAGCTAATTAACTTTGCAGTATTTATAGAATGACCCAATGTTAATAAAAGTGACTTTAATAATTTTTTAAACATTTTAACAAGCATTACTCTGCAAACATTTACAAGCCTCTGAAGTGATGAATGCGTGAATGACAGAATAACTCTGATCATTAACTAAATTCTACATACTTTGTAATTATACAAATGTCTCATGAACAAAGAAACCTCCCATTATGCTTTCAGTTTTGTTAGCTGCTTCATTAATAGCACTGAACTCAGTAATTTCCTTTAAGAAACAAAAGCAGTGAACCACCTGGTACATATATATTTTAAATCATAATACTCCCTATAGTGTTTAAATATCCTTTGTAATCATTAGTAAGTATGTCCCTAAACAATGGAAAACAGTTGTTTCAAAAACAAGCCCATCATGTTAGTCTAGAAAGTATGGACCAGTTAATCTTTCTTTGCACGACTGTGTTAAGTGTTTTAATAACAGCCAAGTTATCAAAGCGTTATTTATCCATAAAGAAGAAACATTAGTCAACCTCATTTTCATGCTAGCAATAGCCTTCCCCAACAGAATTTAAACCCATTTACATATTCAATGTGCTGATAATCTTGTTTACCAATGTACAACTAACCATATTGTTATAGTTCTATAGATGATCCAAGTTGCTGTCATGGACTAATTGATACTCTGATGTGTCCTGAGGGTGAAAAAAATCACCATTCATTCTAATAATACTTACTGCCATTCACACCAGAGCCTGTAACAGTTTGAAACAATAAACAGAGTTGCTCTTACTTTTCATCATCATTGTACTCACATTACTGCCAAATTCAGTTATTATTTTTGCTTAATCTGTAACTTGGAAACAATATATTCCAGAAAGAAAGCTTAGTATAAAATAAACATGTACAGTAATTCTCATAGCTGCATCGAACAATGTATTAAAAAAATATACAAGTTCTGTAAAATGTATCAGAATTCCAACTGTATTATTATACCCAAGCACATTGTTCTATTACTTTGAAAAAATAAACTTGCCAAATGAAAATTGATGCTCATATTATTTAAATATTTGTTATAGCAAACAAGTTTACTTAGTTTAATTCTCCTTGTAATTTAAGTATTTTCGTTTGATTTCAAGAAAAAAATGTTTCACTGTACACTCTAGAACCTAAAAGTATTAAATTAATTTAGCAATTTTGTACTGGTTTACTAATATTATGATATGAATGTGAAGCTTTGGTGTGCTTGTGCAATGAAAGCAAACTTCTGGACCCTTTCATTTCTTAAGCTTACCTTTTGTGTATTTCATTTATCCTATGCATTTCATTTCTGTTAGTTCTCAAATTCAAATTTTTTACTTACCATTTATATATGTACTTATTCTTTTATATTCAAATTATTACAACTTGTATTATTGAGATTTTTGTGTCTTAGCCCATTTGAGATTAAAATAGCATTGACAAGTTAGATGTGACATTGCACATAGTGATTTTCTCCACATTAGCTGACATTAACAATTAAAGGTTGTTAGACAAATCCCATGTGTATTGAGTAGAAATTTAAGTGTTGAGACATTTGCTCAGCATTGAGTGTTGCCACCCTCTTTTCCGTGTAGATGTTATCTTCTTTCTTAAGAAAATTGACTTTGATTATAGAATTCAACGTGTTTCTCAAAGCTCTTGCCCAAACCATAATCAGTAACATATACAGAGCTCTGCTGTTCCTAGGTGCGCTATTAATTAACGTAACCCACTGCCCCTACAGTACACATTATTTTGAGTATTCTAAGCACCACCTTTAACTATACATATAATGTACTGTAAAAACATCTTTTACAGAATGTATTTAGTGTACGGTAAATATAGATGCTCTACAAGGTAACGTATTGACATATGATAAACACAACCATTCATTATACATATCAGTGAAAGCTAAGCACACAAAATTAAAATAGTAACTTGCAGTATCCGCAAATGTTTTGCTGGAAAAATAATTTATAATCTATTAAGACTACTACTACTACTTACGCACCACTATGTGTAAAAGTCATTCTTAAGAAAAATAAAGCATTACTTAATGAAAGGAAGAGTGCAAAGCCAAAAATACATATCTAAGAAATGGTTTAAATACTACAGACTGGGTATATATACATTTACTACAGAGCAAATGTTAACTTGAAACTTCCCAAATTTCAAATTTGAAAATTCATCTAAAAATGACTCAGCTTAATAAACTGTTTGTTTACAGTTAATCACAAAGTTGTATAGTGGGATATAAGCACATAATTTCCCCACTGAAATGCTCAAACCAAAATGTAAATGTTATAGGTCTTTACTCTGAGCCTAAACTTAAATGTTTTGTGATTATGAATTCAAATATTCTAGACCATTAAAATGGATTCCATATAAATATAGAAACATTTATCCTTACAATTCATGCACTTGTATCCTCTCAAGGTCCTCCAATGTAAAAAAATAAATAAATCAGATAAAGCAAAACTAGATTATATCACAAACTTTTTGGCATATATAAGGAAATATTGTGTACCTTTGAATCTTAAACACACAGAGATAAATTTGCTGCAAAGCTAAGTGAACCTAGAGATTAGTGAACATTCAATTCTATGTTTTCACTTTTTTTTTAGACCAGTAATGTACATTTTTTTTTCCTTCTGTATTCTACTACTATTTTCCATCTGACATATCTATCATGTTTTGACACCAAGTATGTAAGTGTAACACCAATTTATGGATGTAATGGCCATTCCAAAATTATCTTTAGTCTAGTCAAGTTTAAGTTTCCAAAATACTAGTCTTTATATAAAATCATCACAACTTTTCTTGAAATTCAGGTAATACTGCTCATTCTTTTATAATTAAAAATTCAATAGTTGTATGATAGACTTCACTTTTATTTTTTTACTGTTTTGAGGTTTTAAGTGTGATAAAATTGAACAGATCTGTCATATCTCCTTGAGGACTTATTTTTTTGTATTTTACATACTAAACAACTATACAGATACTGGTATCAAGATATACTTGCAAACAGTTTTCTTTTTTTCCAGATATAAGTGCAATAAATATGAAAGCTACAGAAGGTTGAGTATGTTACATCAAAACAATTGTGGAACCTGAACATGTTGTTATAGTCTATGTTGTCACGTCTGGTCGTGCTCTATCTGATGACTGTGCATCTTGACAATAGCCCCACAGCTTAGTTTCCAAAGCAAAGGTCTCCATCAATAAAGCTGTCATGTCTAAGTTACACCATTCGTCCATTTAGTGTTAGAGGACGATACCAGTACCCATTTCAACAATTTAATCACACAGAAATTCATAGGCACTGCACCCATTAGCTTGAATGGTATAGTTTTGTACCAAAGAAGAACATGCAAATCCATTTTGTTCTCCAGTTGTTTGACGTATACAACTGTTGAATGGCAAGTATAATTGGAAGACTGATTGGTGAACCCATACGTTTGCTGCCTTCATGGCCAAACAGAGATTCTTTTTCTTATACTGATCCATATTCCTTTGTTTTCATGTCTTAGAAATTCTAAATCCCTAGTATAATCACATGTTTATAATAAGAGTGTGTGAATGTTTTATATTGGAAATGGCTGTTAATTTCCATTCTCTGATAATCAGTTTTTGGTAGTATCATGCTACCACAAAATGTAGTTCTGATACATTCCATTCCATCTTTATATCAGGTGTGGTTTTTACGTGATTTGCTGAGCTGCATATACAAGGTAATTTTAATGACATAATATATCTTCTATACTTGCGTAATGAAACGAAATAGCACTGATACCATTATGGTTTCAAACCTTCCAAGAAAGAAAAATGTAATATATATGATGGTTTTCAGATACAATTTGTAGAGGAGCTCAAAATCTTCCTAGGTTCTAATTTTGGAACACTTAATTATAGTTGTATGTTATAGTGGTATATCTTCAAGTTCATTATCCTTGAGTTAGGTTCTGTCATTTATTTTTTGTTTTAATCTTGTATTTGTCTGGGGAAGATCTAACAAACTTGTATTAATTCATGATAAAATTGTAGCTGATTAATATTTTATGATTGTATGATATGAGTTATTGGCATGTTTTATTTTGCACTGCTTTGCTAATGAACATACTTTTAACAAATATATAAAAACATGTATAATTTATCACGATGTTTTAATTTATAAACACTGTGGCAGTGTTATGAATCTAAAATAAACCATCCAATGCCTGTGTTAACT